GTTTCTCTGTGGCTGCACCACAGAGATGAACAGAGAAATGAGGCCTAATTTGGGAAAGCTCAGAAACACTTAATTCTGCCTTATTATTAAGCCTCGCCGCTACACTTGTATGGTCAAAAACAATAATATTTGTTTATATTGTTATCACATTCAAGTTTCCATGTTTTAAAATAAATAATTATAGTTTTGATTTATATTACCAGCTATAAAACTATTAACAAAGGGTGTTACAATCCTTCATTATCATTAGTGAGAATTCTAATAACATGTGTAATTCTTATCTCCTTGATATTGTTTATATCTGCTTTCTTTAAAATGATTAATTGAAATATTGATGTGTTAATTAAGGGTGGGAAAATTAAGAGTGATTTGTTGTAATGTGTTGAGTAGGATAAAAAGGTTTTAGTCATAAAAAATCCACACATTTTTGGCAGAAACCTGAGGTAGCAGTTACATACTGTAAGTGACCTCAGTTTATTTTGTATCTAATTTCTTTCTAGTTCAAAATGCTGTCATTATATTTTTCCCTGTTACTTTCAGTGGGACATGCCCTCTCGACATCCTGTTGTGGGATTCCAGCCTTCGACAAATGTGGATTTGCTTCCCATTATCCCTCATGTTTACACCTCAGTGCTGCCCCCTCATTTGGGGAAAAGATGGGTAGAAAAAAGGACACCAGATTACAAGGTATTAAAGAGTAATGATAGTATGCAAGGATCAGTCATCTTTTAATAATATATACGATATACTTTTGCTTAATTTCAGCTCTGGCTACTAAATGATCACTTTATAAAAAACAGGAATAGTTCTTGAATGTGCTATGATAAATGTACTGTACTGTATATAGCTATTAGAAAGCTAAATGTAAACTTTGGATTTGGCATTGCAAAGACGGATAAGTCTAACACATGTAGTATAATGGCAGATTTACTGTGAAGAAATTATATTGAAATATTTAACTGTATTTCAGATTTACTTAAATAATGCCCTTGCTATGGATACAACATGGATAAATCCTGAAGAAGTGAGAATTTTCCAGAGGCATGAAAAACCACTGCTGATGACAAATCAAGTGGCAATGAGTATATCTAGGCCAGCTGCTGCCTCAAGGAATTTTCATACACTACTTGTATCACCTCAGCCTATATCAGGTTAGTGTTAAAATTTATTACATGTAACAAGTTTACAAGGTGAGGCCTTGTAAAATGGGGCTCTATTTATCAGATGCTCTCCTTCAATTTTGTATTGGGATCTGTTCTTAAAATTTAATCTTCAACAGAAATAAAGTGAAAAGGTAATGACTGACACAAATGTGTTTAAGGATTCCTTGGAAATCTCAGATACTGTAAATTATTTCCTGTGTTTTTGTCCTTCAGCAGAAACATTAGCAATAACTCAAGACAAATCAGAAAATGTACAGTAAATGAAACTAGTGCTGGAAATCCTTTTAATTAATGTCAACTAAGGGGCATTAAAAACACTTATTAAAGTTAATTTCAGTACTCATTGGTTTCATTTAAGGCCTCTCGGTATAGTTTCTGTTGGTTTTGTTACCTTGAGCATAATAATCTGTTATTTCTACTTGTTTTGTTCCCAGTGTGGAAACACTGAATCAGAGGTTACCATTCTCTTACAGACACAGACATTGGAGGTCTGCTGGTAAACAGCATTCTACTGACATTTTATTATTAGTATTAAAAGCTCTGTCTGAAATTGATTTAGTTGTTAACTACTGTACTGATACCAAATGGTAAATGTTTCTGGTCAGCATCTACTCTCTATGGGCAATAGATCTGTAGTGGTAGAATTTTGAGTTGAAGGACTTACAGACCAGTTGAATTCCTCCTCCTATTAATAAAAAGGGAACAAGTTTCAGCCCTCCCAACTTTTTCAAAAGGTTAGCAAATTACAATATACAGTATAGGAAAATCCTCAATTAATAAAAAAAAACGAGATCTCCTGTAGTTCTTTCATTAATATTCTACATTTATATTTCACATGTTAGTATAGTAAGGTCTTAAAAGTAGAAGGCAAAATACTGTAAATGGAATTCCTTATCAAGAAATGTTTGAATAACGAAACTCAGAGATTCTTATTGATTCTGTGTGGAACTCAAGATTCCACCAACACAGTAAGTGACATTGCTATGGAAACTTCATCAGTAAGGCTTTGATCTAAACCCATTTGTACCATGGTTCAAGGCAGAAACAAGGGCAAAAAAATAAAATTCGAGCCTGAGATACCTGTGATATTCATTTAACTGTCTGCAAGGTGTATGTAACAGAGTCTTCACAGGATTTACTTTGCTTCTTTTCTTCTCATAAAACCAGGGGCATTCTAAGCACTTTAAGAAACTATCCCCTCAGGCCATTTGCTGAATAGATGGCCACAAATGAGCATATCAATCTGAAAAAGGACTTTCACTTTCAAATGAAATTATAAAAATATGTGTTTTAATGCCTGTGGAATGTTATTTTCATTCAGCACAAGAAGATATCATACATTTTTAAAGATGCAGTATAGTGTGACTTGTGGTGCATTGGTATTGAAATAAAACTGAGCTAGTCTGCTTTGATAAGTCATAGCTTTTTAATTTTGCTTTACTGTTTCACCACTCACTCTGCTTTTTTGTACTGTAAAACTATAGATGAACGTGCAAAAAAAAAAACAGTACTTGGATATGTATAAAATAAGTTACACCATAGTAGGATAAATACATACCCAAGTAGGATGTTAGGATTCTCTGTGGAGAAACTGGCTAGATAAGCTGGTCAGATAACCCAGTGACTTGAGACATTCTGAAATAAATCCCTTTACCCCTTTGCATTATTCTGTATACAGTATATTTACTGTATACAACCATATCCAGAAAGTATATTTTATAAATATATTATAATATAAATTGAATAGAATCTCATAATATTTATACAGTATTTCAGCATATTTAATACTGTAAAGGAACAAGTAATAGGTTTATTCCATGCTGAAAAAAAAGAAGAAAGAAAACAACATTTCGGCCATGGAGCCTTCTTCAGGTGTGAGAAAGACAAGGCAGTAAGCAAAGGTAATGTAGCGGGAGAACAAAGTCTGGGAGAGAGGAGGAGCGAGAGGCAGGAGCAGGGGACAGAAAGAGAGGCCAATCAAGAGGTGTGAAGTCAGAATAGGTGTAGAGAGGTGTGAAATGAAACCTCCAATGAATGGAGAAAAATTAAAATAAAAGTAGTCTGTGTGATCCTAGCTGCAATGTAAGTTTCTGTAGTCTTTCTGATGTATGAGTTTGGAAAACAGTCTTTGAGAACACAGATGGAGAGATTAGAGTGGTCATGGCTGTCAGAGGTGAAATGGGAAACAATGGGCTTGGAGAGATCTTAAAATCTTAACAGCCCTAACATGTTCTCTGATTTAATACTGTATATTGTATATACTGTATATTTAATACTGTATATTTAATACTGTATACTGCATATTGTCTTGTGAACATCTGGAGCAAGCCATTTTCAAAGAACACAAATCAATCCACTGAGTTCTATCAGCTGAATGAAGAGTATATTTTTACAGCTTTGAATTTTACTTTTTCTTTAGCTCTTGATGCATATACATATAATTTAGGACAGTGACTTCTTGAAACATGCAGCAAGGACAGTTGATACCACTATGGCCAACTGACATGATACATTTATATTTTCAGGAAATTCCCATAATAGGTTACCATTAAATTCAAAGTACCATATACACCATATAACCTAACTGTATATATTGAAAACTGGTTAACAAACAAGTAACAATGGATTGTCTTAAACTCTCTGGAAAGCTGTAATATGCCACAACGATTCATTTCAGTGTCATTGCTCTTCTCAGGCTGTGTAAATGATTTAGATTCTCTTATACTTTTCTGAATTTGCAGAGGATACAAAAATAGTGGAGTGACAAACAGAAAAGGCACCAAGGGAATTACAGAAAGGCTTAGACAAAACAAAAGATTTGAAAGACACTTGTCAAATGAAATTCAACATTGAAAGTGATGCACACAGGAAGTAGAAATTTGCACTATGCACTGAACATACAGTACACAGCGTCTGGGAGCTACAGTACACATAAAAGGGATTTATGTGTAAATGTAGATTCTTCTATGTCATTGTGTCAGTGTTGGAAAGAAAAAGGCAAACATACAAACACAAAAATGCTGCGGTATATAGGCAAAAATTGTGGAACTTTAAATTAAGGCAAGTTATGCTCAAGCTTTACAATACACTATCATGATTTCATTTAGAAGTGTTCCACTTGTGTCACTGAATCACAGAAAGGATATTGTAGTCTAAGTAAGAGTTCAAAGAAGAGCAATAAGAATGATTCCTGATTTCAGGGGATTGTCATATGTACAGTATATGGACAGGTTAAAGCACCTAAATCTCTTCTGTCTAAAACAAGAGACAGACAGGATATTTGATCCGATTATATAAAATCCTAAAGGGTATAGATAGGATCAACTCTAGGAACTATTTCATATTCACTTGTGAAACAAGGAACACATGGTTAAAACTGCAAACCAAATCATTTAGGATGGACAGTTGAGAATGTCTTTTAGACAAAAAGGTGGTATCTGGAGTAGGCTTCCAGACCAAATGATTAATGGCTCCATTGACAAATGGCAAGCATTTACTAACATACTAACCAAGATGTACCAAATGGTTGTCTCTCATTTGCAACCCTTGTTGTGTACCTTATTTTTAATGAAACTTAAATTTAATACCAAAGCATGTTATTGAAATGGCAAGTTTTTTGAAAACTTATCAGTGTTAATCTGGTATCGCACCTCCGGCACCCATAAATCCAAAGGCAACAGTTTAAGATCTGCAATATATAATGGCATCTTCAGGGAAAAAAGAATTGAAAACTACCATTCAAAGCTGCCTGCATAAATATGGCCTTCATAGCTGGATTGCAAGGAAAAAGCCCCTTCTGAGAAGGAATCACAAAAAGAGACAACTGAAACTTGCCAAACATAATCTGAATTACATTTGAAATGATTAAATGAAAATTGCGATTTTTGGATATCAGTGTCACGGAAGCCGAAGGCTAGCTGTGGAGAGACCAGCAGAACAGGGAGACCCCAAGTGTAGCGGCAGGAACGGAGAAAACACGGGGGTTCGCTCTGGGCTCAAAGTATCGGGGGGAGACATAAGCCTTCAGGTAGCAGATGTGGGGTGACCTGGTGAGGCAAGCCTCTCGACAACCGATCCCAATGCCGAGTGTGGAGGATAGGGAGACATGGAAATATTTAGCCCCAGACAACAAGACACACTGGAAGAACAAGTAAAGCACCTGGAAACTAGGAACAGGACAGAGAAGGATCGCCCTCTAGTAGAGGGCGTGACAAACAGCCTCATATCTGGCATCAAAATGATGTTCATAATGAGAAAATGCTCCTGCCCACTGTGCAATACTGCATTGTGTGCGTTTATAATGTTTTGGGGTTGTTATGCATCTGCAGATCCTGGAGCCCTTGTCAAGATAGTGGAAATCATTAAGACAACTAGAGTGTTTTAGACAGGCACCTGGTTCCTTCCGCCAAGAAACTCAGATTTGACAGAAAATGGACATTGCAATATGACAATTATCAAATGTATACAGTATGTCTAGGTTGACAAAGGAATGGTTTACTGCACATAAAATATATGTTCTTGTCTGGCCATCTCAATTTGCATACTTCAATCTAACTGGACATTTGCCATTCTAAGTGGAGTTGGCAGTTCATTAATGCTAACTAAAGGGTCTGAAGGATTTCAAGTAAATCTACATGGAGACATGTTCATAAATGCCCCCTCAGAAGTTCCAGGACTCTCGTAGCACATTACAAAAGGTGTCTACTCATTGAATTCACCCCTAGAAGAGGATTTACAAATGATTAACTTCAGGGGTGTGAATACATGTGACTGTAATTATGACAAATAGAACTTGACACTGTGTAATGATATTAAGTTCAACATACTGTATGACATATAACATTTTTAGATTTTTCAAATGAAGAAACATTAGTCTGTAAATCTATACTTTTTCATCAGGGACAAAGAATCAGAGGACACTGTATTAAATATAAAATAATCTACAATTTTAGTATGATTTCAAATTACTATTATTATTTGTAAACTCT